CTTCTTCTTCTTCCCTTCTCTCTGCCTCTTCCTCCTCCTCTTCGGGGGTCTGATCATCATAACACTTCTTGAGGTGCCGCACCAGCTCAAAAACACAGGAGAAAGTGGTGTGGCATCGCCTACAGCCAGAGCCTCCCCCGGAGCTTCCTCCAGTCGGCACAGGCCCTCCCTCACAGGCATTTTTGCGTGCTTTCTGGCGGGCATTCTGGAACCACACTACTACCACACGGCTAGCCAGACCCAGAAGACTTGCGAGCCGCTCTACCTCTCCATCCTTGGGGTAAGCACTGGTCTCAAAGAAAGACTGCAGGGCCTGGGTCTGGAACTCTGTGAACTTGGTTCTGGAGAATCTGCGGCCTGCAGGTGCTAGGGGAGGAAGGTTCCCTCTGGAGCTCTCTTCCCCCTCTGTAGGCCAGCATCCTCCTGCCCGGCTTTGTTCTTCAGGGGCATTCGTCCCCCCTGCCTCAGGCTCTGGGACCAGGAAAGGTGGGCCCAGATGAGGAGCAGGGGTCTCCAGAGAACCATCGGGAAGTTTGAGGGGCTCCACAGGGGGTGGATATAGGCTATCATAGCTCTTGCGAAACTGGGCAGCATAACGGCTCAGAGCCTCGAAGGGCAGAAAGCGGCGGTGGACATGCTCCTCGTGTGTTTTGAGGATAAGCATATTGGAGAAGAGTTTCCCACAGGCCCCACAGGCCAGCTTGTCCCCACCCCCCAGGGCCTCTGGAGGAGGTGGTGTTGGGGGAGGGGGCACAGCCTGCTTCCCTTCGTTGTACTGAATCACCAGCTCAAAGCCGAAGTTTTCCAGAAGGGCTTTGGCTGCGGTGCGGGAGGCCTCATTGGGCGATGGGTGGGATGGCGAGGACGGCCCTGCCTCATTTCCCTCCTCAGCCATGACAGGCCGCTCCCATTCCTGCTCAACCAGCTCAGCCTTAGGGGGTGGAGGCGGAGGAGGTGGGGTGGCAGCTGGCAGGGACAGCATGGGTGCAGGCCCAGCTAGTGCCAGCTTGGGCCCCACCTTGAGGTCATGGAGGTAGAAGGGCAGGAGCAGCTGCTGCTGCTGGAGCTTAAGCAGTGATTCGGGCACCAGAGGAAAGGGGGGCAAGACTGGTGGAGTGAAGATGGGGGCTGGGAATCGGTGCAGGTCCAAGGGAGGAGGAGGTGGGGACAGGAAGGGCAATCCAGATATGAAGCCGCTGGGCTCAGGGACCTTCTTCTCAGTGCCCACCTCCCCCTCGGTCTCGCCTTCTTTGGGCTCTTCTTGACTACGCTCTGGCCCCTCCACCTTGGCGTCAGTCTTGGCCCCTCTTGAGCGAGTCTGGTGCAGAACTGACCGCATGTGGATCTCCAGGGTAGAGCTCTGGTTGTAGGAAACTCGGCAGACTGTGCACTTGAAGGGCTTGTCTGTGGCAGTGGTAGTGGTTGGTGGAGCCCCAGCCTCTCCTCGGGCAGGGCCTGAGGGGTCAATGGCAGCCTTCTTCATCTTATGAAGGTGGGAGACAGAATTATAGTGAACCAAAAGGATGTTCTTCTGGGTGAAGGACTCCTTACACACAGTGCACTTGTAGGGCCGGGCAGGGTCGAGAAACTTGTCCAGGGCAAAGTTGGTGGTTTTCCGGTAGGTCAGAGGGTGGCGAGAATCAGCTGGGGTTGGCTCTGCAGAGCGGGGCTCTCCCATGGTCCCATCTTCTTCTTCAGTTTGGGTGGGTGGAGGAGCTACTTCTTCAGCTAAGGTGTCAGGCTGAGGGATGGGAGATGGGGCTGGAGAAGGGGGTTGTTCAGGGCTTCCCAGGGGCTTGTCTGGAGCCTCAGCTGGGGCCAGGGGAGGCTCAGGAGGAGGATCTGGGCTGGCCTCTGAGGTCAGGTTGGGGCCTTCTATGGGAGAGAGAAGAAGGTGCAATGAGCAGGGAACTTTTGAGTGCCCCACCCATTCAAAATCCAGGGCAATAAACCCTGGCCTCATTTGTCTTCAGACCTTCTTGGCCCATGGAGATGAGCTTCCCTTTCCTGCCCCCTTGGAAGGTATGCTGTCCCCTTCCTTACCTCTTGCCTGGTCTCTGCCGGGTATGGGCTCTGGCCCAGGGGTGGGAGGTTCTGGGCCATCCTCCAGAGGGCATAGTAAGGGCCCAGACAGCACTTTGGTTGTAAAGGTCATCTCTACAGTTGTAGCCTGTAATGCAAGAAACCCTAGTGATTTCACCACACCCCACTGCCACCTCCCGCCATGCTCTTCCTGTGCTGAGCCCTCTTCCCCCTTCCCATGGATCAGCCTCCTCTCTGAACGAACACCCCTCCTACTGGCTGCTTTCTCCACAATGAAGGCCTGGGCTGCTGCCTTATTTTTCAGGTTCTCTCCTTCCCCAGGCCAAAGTCATCTCTCCTTGAGGCCACCTGGCCCTGGCAGACCTGGGGCTGCTGTCTTGTCTGTCTTCTCTAGACTTAATAGAAGTGAGAGAAATGCTGAGTTTTCTCATCCAGTAGATGCAGCTAGGCAGGCTCAGTGCAGAGAGTCCCTCCAACTCTAAAGTCCCACTTCAAATCTGTGAAATGCTCCTTTCTTCTTCACCCTCCTCCCCAACACATACACTTGTCTGCATGTCCACTGCACAGCCTTGACTGGGCCTCACGGAGCTATCCTCACCCAGCCTGTACTTACCACAAGAAGCAGCTTCTCAACACACTCGGGTACCACGTTGTGCAGGTGGCTCAGGTGGAAGTGCAGGGCAGGCCGGCCCACTAGCTGCTCTTGGCACAGTGGGCACCTGTATTTGGGCTGCACTGCATGCTGGGAGAGTGTATGAGCCCTCACCTGGTCAGATTCTGAGCTCAGGAAACTGCAATAGGAACAGCAGTACACCTGGGGAGCACAAATGGACAGTGGAGGAGGTGTCAGGCAGGGGGATCCACCGTCACACGGTCCTTTGGGTTTGTCAGTGCAGTACTGTCCCTCCTCCAAATTTAGTAGGAACAAACCAGATGGGAAGGCATCTCAGCCCCAAGTCCTGAAAGCTGGCTTCTCTCCCTCCCATCTCCCTTGGACTGAGACAAAGATTTCGCCTAGGCCACTGCTCTGCCTTCCTCCATTCTTTGGCACTCTCTCTTCATCCTGGCCTCTATGTTTTTGTTTGTTTGGGGTTTTATTCGCCCCTTTCCCTGTCTCTGCTGTTCTCCAGCTGACAGATTGCCCTGTACCACCCTCCATCTCACATTTAGTTTTCTTACTCACACCTCTCCTGCCTGTATCTTCTCTGTGAAATGTCTCCAGTTCCTTTGAGTACTCTCTGGACCTAGAGGTCTCTGCCCACTTTTGCTGCTCAGGGCCCTTGAATGTGTCCAGTGGAGGGGTCCTACCTGTCTGCTCAGAAACTGGCTCATTCTCCCTTTGGCTCAGCAGCTCCCACTTTTTTGTTTTTGTCTTTTCAATATGAACAAATGCCACATCTTCCCCAGTGGTCCTGGGAAATTCTGCCTGGTCCTCAGCATACTCCTGCCCATACCTCAAGAGGAGAGGCCCACTGTCACCTGACTCAGCTGTCCAGCCTGCATTCTGCCTGAGCCTCAGAGCAAGCTTTTGTCTGGCTCACTTCTCTCGTCACCTAGAGTGGCTGGCTATAGAGGAGAGGACCTAGGTGTGCTCATCTTAATGCACCTACTAGCCCTCAGGGCAGACCTCATAATATCTGTTGGAGGAGCAGGAGTTAAAAAGAGAAGCTGGGCTGGGGATTTAGCTCAGTGGTTTCGTCGCCTGCTGCACAAGCCCAAGGACCCAAGTTCAATCCCCAGTACCAAAAAAAAAAAAAAAAGAAGAGAAGCTGAGAATACAGTTGCCACTGCACAATGTAATGCAATCTGAACACTGAGTCCTAGGATGGCATTTCAAGACCAGAGGTTGGGAATCCCCTCAGAATCAACATTTTCAGATTACAAAGCTAAACCACTTCTGGATCCTGCTAGGTCCAACTCTTAGGGGTTTGGAGGTTCGCTTTCAGGGTGAATCATTTGCTTGGTGCCTCTACTTTCAAGAAGAAGGTGGCAGGACAGTTCCATCCAGACTCAGGGCTTTCTGTAGGATGGGAATATCCGTGTGTAGTTGTCTTTCTGCAGTTGGTCTTTTTGTTTTTTATGTTTGCTTTGTTTTTTGAGATAGGATCTCCCTATGTAGTCCAGGCTGGCTTTGAACTCACTATGTAGCCCAGGGTGACCTCGAACCCACGGTGATTCTCCTGCCTCAGGCTCCCAAGTACTAAGATTACACTGTGTGCCACCACGCCCTGCTCTGCAACTGGTCTTTTAGTTTTTCCCTTTCTTTTCATTTCTTCACTCTCCTCTTGTCCTTCTCATCTACCTCCAGTCATTCCTATTTTAATACAGTTCCTCTCTTTTACCTTTCCATCAAACTCCTACCATCCTTTCCTCTCATCTGCTGCTATGCTCCATCCCTTAAGGCCAGCTCTGCCTTGTTTGTGCTGAACATATGTAACTGGCCCTGGATATAATTTCTCACATGTGGTATTCTGAGTGAAATAAGTCATAAGCACACTAAAAGCCCCTAGAATATGAGCAGATCTCAGCAAAGCCAGACCCCCGCCTTCAAGTCATCCCAGTTTCTCCAGTTCTGACCGTAGTCTGGTTGGCACTGTCTCTGGAAGGGCCAGTCCTGTTCTCTGCCTCTTCAGAAGCTGAGGATGAGAGAAGAGGAGATTAAGGGACTCTGACAGCCCTCCTTCTTCTGTTCACAGACACCCCCAGCCCTTAAGGAGGTGATTTGTAGCAGAGAATTTTCAGGGCAGCAGAGTGGGCTCTCAAGAAAGGGGAAAAGGGCAAGAAACTCAGTACCCAGGAGAGGCCTGACTTAGAAGCTAGGCAGGGGCCGACTGCAGGTTAGTAAGGTGGCCAGGTTTGGGTCCTTAGAGAGGGTAGAAGCACCTAGCCCTCCTTGGCTCAGCCTCCCTTCCCTCTAATGAGCCCTTTCATGGACCAGTTTTGCTCTCTCAGCATAGGAGGCTTTGCTGGGTGCTTGGATCTCTGCAAGGTCCAATGAGCATCTCAGAATGTATGAGGACTGGGAGAGGAGAAAGAAAATGGGACCAGAGAAGCAACTCACCCAACTGTTCTGTCTTGTTCTGGGCATCTTTCTCAAGGGTGGGTGGCTCGGCTAGGGGGGTGACAGGAGCCTTCCCTGTGTAGAATGGGGGAGAGTCAGCTTAAAGAGGTGAAGCATCAGGGAAGGCAGAGGAAGCAGGGCAAGCAGCCAGTCAGTGAAGAGAGAATGGATGGGTAAATCAACAGGCAAGTGAGGACAAAAAGTCCCCAGAAGAAATCATCATCCAGAGGGTAAAAGGAAAAATTATAGTCATGGAACTCGTAAGGTCTAAGAGATAATCTTGTGTCAGTCCTGTCCCCTTATCCTTTTATAGGAATAAGCCCTACAATAGGCAACAGAAACTGGACTACATCGGGATCCCCTGTCTTGACTCACTCTGGAAGCAGGGAACCCCAAAAATATAGTGGGAGGGGCACTCAGGAGGGAAGCTGAAGTTGAATGGGAGTGGCATTGGTGGTGGGCAGGAGGCAGCAGGCCTAGCTGGGAGAGGAGATTACCACTCAAGTAAGAATTGACAGATGTGTAGGAATTTATTTTCAGTGGCAGCCTAATTAAAGTGTTAAAGTTCCTTAACTCCATTCAGCCCTGCACCAGGATCGTTTGCTATTGATCTGGGCCCCTCCAGCACTTAACTCCAGCCAGCATATTGGCAATTCAATTAGCACCAGTCAATGCTGCCTGTTCCCGGTTCCCGCTGCCCGTGTCCTCACCGTCGCCCACTGCTGGCCTCTCCAAAGCCCGAAGCCCATGCCCACCTCTGTCTGACAGCCCCTTCCAGGCTCTTCTGCACCCTCTGGATCAATGACGCCTGGCTGGCTGTTTCCGGCCTTTGCTGGTACAGCCTCAGCTGCCTAAGGGGGACTCTAAGCCCAGCCTTAGGGCTGAAGACTTCCTACGAGACAGGAAGAGGCTGGGAAGCTTATCAGGGCCTCTTCCCAACTCTGCTGCCTTTGGACTATGCCCACAGCTCCCTTCCAACTCCTGGCTCAGCAAGAATCAGGTTCGACTTTTTCTACCTTCTCTCTCCTTTCTGACCAGCTCTAGCCTGCTGCCCCCACAGCCACAGGTGCTAGGACACTAGTCAGTACTTGGGACTCACTGGGTGATTCCTCCTCACCTCCCTTCCTGTTCTCTATTCTCCACCCAGCCCTTCTCTGCCCTCCTCCAAATGCCTCTTGTACCTCTTCCTCATAGGGCAGCCCTTGTGGTTCTGTAGCTCCCATCCTGTCTTATTCCTCTCCACAGCTCCTTTCTGCTTGGTATAGATGGCCCACAGACCCATTTCTCCTTTCTGTGTCACTTTCTCGTCAGTTCCCTGCATCCTGCTGCCCTCCTGCCCAGCCCTTATTTTCCAGTCCCTTCTTCCTCACCAGGAGTCCGGAGCTGCCCATGGCTGAAGCTTAGGATGCTTTGAAGAGCTGAGAGTCCTTCCTCAGCTGTTGGGCTGTTCTGTAGCAGCTGCAGACGCCTCTGGGCTTGGGCGTCCCGGTGGGCAGGTGCGCGGAGGTGTTGCAACACAGCCAAGCGGGAGGGTGTTTCCCAGGCACACAGTAGGCAGCGGTAAAGCCCCAGCTCAGCCCCTGCCTCTGCTCCCTCCATTTCCAGCAGAAACTAGAATCATGGGAAGAGGCTGACACTCAGACCCTGAAGGGACACGGCCAGATCACAGGAGACTGCGCTTCCCCCAAGGGAGCCTCACCCTCGCCCACCCTGTGCTTCCTCCCCGGGCCCTCGTTTCCCTCTTGTGACTACCTAAGTATCAATGCTTGGACTGGACAAGGCTCTCGCCTAGTATGTGAATGGAATCTATTCCCATCTTTCTGAACTTCGGGTGACAGGATGGACTGAGCTGACATAGACTTCTCCCTCCAGCCCCAAATACCAGAAGAGCTGAATAAAGTCTTTGTTTCATTTTCTCAGAGTCCACTATCCTTTGGTCTCGAGATTCTCCAGGTCTGTCCAGTTAACCCTGGTGCATATTTCCCTTTCCTTCATTTCTGCTGACCTGAGTTTTCCCATTAATTCCCTACTCTGCAGCTCCTCCTTTCACCATCTCCTTTCTCTTTTCCTCTTTCCTGTCCCAGGCTCACCTTATAGATCTGGCTGTTTTCTTCATGGGCCGAGCCCCGGGCATGCAGCTGCATCTTCTCCTTGCTGTTGGACTCAAAGTCACAGATGTTGCAGCGCAGATGCAGGGGGGAAATAGATCCATAAGGGGTCCCATCTCCCAGAGGCACTGGGGAGGGGGAGCCCATGGCCCCGCCCCCCTCCCGCAAGTGGGCTGCTAGTTGGTACTTTTGTGCATGTTTGTCAGTCTTGAGGTGGAGTTGGAAATTGGCTTTGAGCTGGGTGCCATAGCAGCAGAGCTTGCAGCGGTGGGTGTCACCTGCCACCTCCTTCCATTCAGCTTCTGGGAGGCTGCGGCCAACACTGCAGTGGTACAGCAGCAACTCCAGGCTGTCTGTGCTGAAGGCCTGGCACACCAGGCAGCGGAACACCTTCAGGGATGGGCTGTCATCTGGGGGTGGTGAGGTGGACAAGCCATCGGATGAGGAGCCCAGGAGCTGACTTGGAGGCAGGTGGGCTTCAGGGGAGAGGCTGCCAGGGGCTAGGGGACAGAGCCAGATTAGTGCCTAAGAAGGAGATGGGGCAGGGTCAATTACGTGGAGAGGAGGGTTAATAAGTCAGATGGTACTCAGGGGAAGTAAGGGTTACCTAAGCTGAGAACTGGCCTTTGGGAGAAAGCAGGGGATAGACTTTATCCTGGACGGGGACAGAGTTCAGGGAGCTTACCAGGTGTGGGAAACTTGCGGGTAGGTGCTCCAAGGTGGTGGAAACCGTTGAGAAGCAGCTGGGCTTCCAGGGGCTTGTCTGACCTCAGCCCTGGGCCAGGCATGGGAGTCTGAGGCTGCCCTAGGGCCTGGGGCCCAAAGTACTGGAAGAGTTCAGGGGGATTGGTGGGGGCTGCCCCTGGCGGGGGAGGAGGTCCTGGCCCCACCAGACCAGGGGGCAGGCCCAGTGGCAGCCCCTGGTGCAGCATTAGGACGTTCTGCATGTGCTTCTCAGAGGTCATGTGGATGCGCAGGTTGCGGGAGATATTTGTCTCATAGCTGCACACCTTGCACTGCCAGGATGATTTGGTCTTGGGTTCTTTGTCTCCTGCACAGGATGGGAGTGATGCTTCTGGGGGACTTCCTTGTCCCCCAGACCCTGCCTGGAAGCCTTGCAGGTTGGCCAGGTGCTTGTCAGATTGCATGTGGATGCTGAGGTTGCCTTTGGTGGTAGTGGAGTAGTTGCAGACATCACAGCGGTAGGGCTTATAGCCGCAGTTGTAGCTTTCTCCTCGAGCGAGGCGGGGGTGTGCACCCCCAGCACTGCAGTAGCTGCAGTGGCTGTTGCTCTCTGGGTGCTTCTCCCGCATGTGCACATCCAGAGTCTGCTGGTACTTGTAGTGCCAGTTGCACTTGGGACACTTGAGTGTCTTGCAAGAATTTCGGGAGTGTAACAGGGACATGTGGCTGGACAGGCTGAGGCCCTGGAAGGCTGCAGGAGCTGGAGAGTAGTCGTCAGTCAGGCGGTAGGGTTGGGGTGGGTCGTTGGGGTCTTCAGGGGAGCCCCCTGGAGGGGGGAGAGTGCCCCCCTCCTTGGAGGTGGGTGAGCTTTGGTTGAGTGGGGGACAGAGCCCTCCATCCTCCTGCCCCCCGGGGAACCAATCTGGCCCTGCCTCGCCTGCTGCTACTGGCAATTCTTTGGCTTGGGTTGGGCTGGGGTCCCAGGTGGCTGGAGTTGTGGGTGGGGAGGGTGGGCTGAGGGCCATGACTTCTTCAGCGGGGAGGACAAGGGCCCGGACTTCTGCCTCGGGAGGGCCATCCTCAGTCTGGGCTGCCCTCGCCTCTATGTTCACTGTGCTGCTGTTGTCAAGGGGTGTTTCAAGAGGGGGACAAGCAAGGGATTTTGGTTCCAGAAAGCTTATAACAGCTGGGCAGCCCTCATCTCCCTCCTGGAGCACAGCTGGGCTGCCCAACAGGCCCTGGTATTGGGCAGGGGTTAGCTTCACCCCATGAGACTGTGTGTGCCCCATAAAGGCCTGGGGCCTGCTAAAACCCAGACGGCACTGAAGGCAGAACCAGAAGAGTGCCCTGTGATCTCCCCCACTGCTCCCCGTGGGACCATCTTTGGGATCTCTGGGTGGGTTTGGAGCCAGCTGGTAGCTCCAGAAGGCTCCATCCCTTCCCTCACAGGCAGCCGGAGATGGCGCTGAGGTATCATGGGACAGAATTTGGTCAGAAGAGCTAAAGCCTTGGATTGGGTCAAAGCCATGTTGGATGTGAAGGGCAGTGAGGTGTGTGGGGGTTGGGTGGGCAAGGAGGGGCAGGCTGGGCTCTTCCTTGATGCCTGCCTCACCCCAGGGGAAGCCCTTTGGTAATAGGAGTTCATTGCTGCCTGGCAAGGACAACTTGGCCACTAGGTAGGCCTCACTGCCAGATGAAAAGAATAAGTGGTTGCTTATGTCCATGGGAGGGAACCCTTCTTCTTCTTCCTCCTGCTCCTTGTCCTTTTCTATCCTCAGGTCCTTTGGTGTGAAGCCACCACAGCCAGGCTCTTCTTGGGGCTCCCCAATCTCCTTTGGTGGGATGAGACCACAGCCCGACTCCAGAGGCTGTCCCCCTAGCTCTGAGGGCCTCATGCTCTCAGAGGTGGAGGGGGCAGCAGGGGCATCTTTGGTGACAGGGTTAGAGGGGGAGTTGGAGGAGGAGGTGTCCGGAGGCGGGGACGGGGCATTGTGCCCAGGGGAAGGGGTGGTGCCAGCGGCAGAGGCTGAGTTAAGGGTGGCCATGGTAGACGGAGGAGTGCTGGAGGTTCATTTCAGCGTGACAGCCAGTACCCTGCAGGGGAACATGGAAAGAGCAGTACTGTGAGGCCACAGGGATACCAGTCAAGCTGAATCTCTGGATACTCCAGCCCCAGTTTCTTCCCTGAGCATCATCAGACTTAGATACCCACTTCCCAACCTGAAACTTCACTTAGTGTTCACTAAGCTTCAAAAATTAACACATCCATTGTTTCTCCCTGAACTTGCTCCTTTTGATATTAACTGCTTATATCAAAAGTTGATATCATTTATCCAGTTGCTTAGGCTAAAAGTCCAAAATTTTTCTTTTGCTCTCCCACAGCAACCTCTACACCACATCAAAGCCTGCACTTACCATCTTCCCCACAAGCACCATTCTGGCCCAAGCCATTACTTCTGTCCTAACTACCTACATGGACCTCCCATCCCTACTGCTGCCCCTCCAGGTCAGTCTCCTTCCACCCAGCAGCAAGAAAGATCTTTTACTTAATTCTCAATTATGAAAAATGCCATTTATAAAACTGCACCAAATAACATAAGGAAATCTTTTTTACCCATTATCCAGTTAAAAAAAAATCAATTTATGACCAGTCTTGTTTCATTCGTGTCCTCACCAAGGTCTCCGAATTTCATGTACTATTTTACAGCCAATTTCAAAGCCCCCAGTTACTTTCTTCAGAGATTTCTCACCACCAGATATTTCCTGGTTTACTTATTTCTTCCTCCTAGAAGGTAAGTTCTGTGAAAGCAAGAACTGTCATCAGCATAGAGGATGATGCCTGCCACAATCAGTAAGAGTCTTGACGGAATGAACTCTGGGAGATAACCTCAGATTTTCCAAGCCCTGAAGAGGTAAGCTGTGCAAGTCAAGGTCTTCTTGCCAGAGATAGGCCACAGCTAACTTCCCCTGCATGCTTCCAGATCCATCTCTGGTCACGAACACATGTAATAGGAGTTTCCCTGCCAGTTCAAAGACAACAGCTTTTATGTTGCCTCCCTCCTTCCCAAAGAGATAAAAAGAAAAAAGTCATATTATTCATAGCTATTGAAGCACATACATCAAGGTCCTGGCCCCATGGTAAGGGTTTATCAGTGATCTCATTTAATCTCATAGCAACCTTATTTTACAGATGAGGCAGCAAAGAAACAGGCTAAGAGAGCCGCTGGTGTTCGTTAGGCTCCAAAGTGGTGAAACCAGAAAAGGACTGGCCAGACACAATAAGAGCACCAATTGGGCCAGGGATTTAGCTCAGTGGTTTCGCTGCCTGTTGTGCAAGCACAAGGACCCGAGTTCAATCCCCGGTACCAAAACAATAATAGCACAAATAAGCCTCCAAAGGAGAAATTGGGAGCCCTGGGCTGCCTCCCATCTGAGTAGGCTCGCCACGGCTCCTTTGCTTCTCCGAAACTTTTTGCCACTACCATCTCTCAAACTCACCAGTTCCCCAGGCCTCCACCCATTACTTCTCCCAGCGTCCCAAGTACTTGCCTCCATCCTTTCTCCTTGTGTATCTGAGCAGATCTAACTTTGGCACTTTTTTTTTTTTGGTACCAGGGATTGAACTCGGGACCTTGCCCTTTTGAAGCAGGCAGCAGAACCACTGAGCTAAATCCCCAGCCCTCTGGCCACCTTTAACCTCACCTCCAAATTCCTAGATTTAGAATGGGTCCTTGGTATGGCCTCATCCAGCCGGCAGACCTCTGTCCTCCATCCCTTCTCCAGGAGGGGGTCTAGCCAGGCATGAAGTCACAGCTTTTAAGGAGCTCTGAGAGGGGCTGGATTACCATGCTAATGAAAATGCAAATCAGGACCCAGGAGAGGGTGGGTGGGAGGGACAGGCAGGGAGTCTGAAAACCAAAAGGTAAGTGAAGAAACTGGACTGAGGGAAGTAGCTTCCTGGAAAAAGGAAATCAGGGACCCTAAAGTTGTAGGAGATAGGTATTCTTCCTAGGGATCCTTGGTGGTGGGAGGGGATAGGTGCAGTGATTTGTGAGTGTCTTAGATTGCCCCTGTCCTTCCTGAGGTTGGATCCCACTGCCTTCCACCACCTTACCTGGTGCAAGAGCGGGGACCCTTGCTACTGAAGGCTGAGCATAGTGCGTGCTCTCTCTCAGTGGGCCTGGCTGCTGTCACCAGCTTCTTCCTGGTTCCTAACTGAACTCTACCTCACAGTTCAGGGGAGACCTAGGTAGACTGTGCAGTAACTCCCAGATGCTCTCTCCAAAGAGTTTAGTTCCAGGACTGGAAGAAACAGCTGATAGAAACCAAAGGAGCTTTTGGCCAGCTTGTGAGAGACCCTGATGGGCGCAGGGTAGGTTGGCAGCTGTTTAAAATTGCAAATCTCTTCCCCCTCTCCCAACTTACCCCTCCTCTGCTTCAGGAAAGAATTTCAATTGCAAATTTATCTCTGCCTCAGTGCGTCTCCCCCAACACCTCACTGCCACAAATTCACCCTCCCCCTTTCTTCTCAGTGCTTCTCCCATCACCCGCCATTTATTACTAATCTTTTGCTGCAGCAATTACTTTTTTCCCTCCTTCCATTTCCCCCTTCCATCTTTTCTTCCTTTCCTCCTTGAATCCCCACGTCCCTTTCTTTACCTTTCCCACTTTGAACTGGAGATGACACAGAAACAGGCCTAAAAGTATTCCCCCATCCATGAGCCAACAAACTTGTTCACCCTCAGACCTACTGCCACGGCTCTCTTTAGGTCCTGCTTTCTTCAAGGGCATCTTCCTCCCTTGGGGCACATCTCAGGTGTGAGTAAAGGGAGAAGACCCTGCCATCCCTGCCTCTTAAGGAAAGGAGGAAGAGGACAGAGGGCGGGTCCCTGGAACCAGGGACTGTCCGAAGGACCTGGGTAGAGGCCAGGGCTGGGGGCCTCTGTGGAGGAGAGGGGCTGGGGAGCCAGTAGGCAGTGGCGGCAGTGTGATTAGAGTGGAGATTGATGTGAAGGGGTGCCACAGACAGCAGAGAGAGTCAATAAAACGAGAGGATCACATTAGAGGCGACAGAGAGAGCTTTAAATTACAAGGCTGCTGCCACTGAGGGGGATGGGAGGAGGGAAGCCTGGAGCCATGGGAGGCGGAGAGTTCCGAGGGCGTAGTCATCCCGAGGTGAATCTGCCAGCTCCAAAATGGCTCTTGGTCTCCAGAACTCCCCAGCTACCCCTTCATTCTGTTCTCCCTCCCTAATGCTTCATTCCCTCACAAGGGTGAAGAGGACAGGAGGGGGAACTCTGCAGAGACAGGTTATTTTTCTTTTTTTCAAATTGCCTTCTTCCTTCCTTGGCACCCAGATCTCTGGTTATTCCTTTGGAGGAGAAGGCAAGGATAGAAGTGCTACCGTCAAGCCCAGCAGGAGTTACTGCCTCACAAACAAGCAAACAAAATACAGAGTCGCAGTGACTGAACTACAGAGGTGAGCAGAGATATGGTACTTAAAAAAAGGAAGATACCAGGGAGCGATCCAGGAGGCAACAACATATACACTAGGACCAAGAGAGTGAGAGAGAGGTGTCTTATGAGAGAAACAAAAGGGCCTGGATGTGAAGTTGCAGGAGCAGAGGGAAAGCGGAACAGGTGGGCTCTGAGACCCAGCAAGACAGAGGACACTAGATGACATTTAAAGGGAGAATTACTGGAGCCCAGGGGGCAAGGGCAAAGGAAAGACCAAAAAATGAGTGGAGAGCATGTGCCCTTCCCAGAGAGGAGTCAAGGTGGGGCTTGGGTTGGCTGCAGAACCCAGATAAAGCTGGGTGCGGGGGCTGCTTCCTCAGGAGCACCGACAAGACCACGCTCCCCTTGGTACAACCCCCTCCTACCTCTGACCAGCCAGGATAGGAAGAGACACTACTGCTCCCCAGTGGTCACCAAGGGAACATCAAGAAGAGGGCTGACCAGATGCTGGACAGTCTGGTTTTCTCCTCCCCAATTCCCTTCCAAAAAATTGTAAAGCAAAACCTGCCTCTCTCCTTTTCTCCAAACCCAACTACAGGGAAAAAGCTTACTTTTTTTTTATTGAGACAGGGCCTAACTAGTTCATGCTGGCCTTGACCTCACTATATAGCCCAGACTGGCCTCGAACTCGTGGCAGTACTCCTGCCTCAGCCTCCCAGAGTGCTGGGATTTATAGGCATGCATCACCATGCCCAGCTCCCAGCCCTTTTTATTTTACCCTAAGACAGAATTTTGCTAAATTGTCCAGGCTGGACTCTAACTTCCTCTGATCCTCTGGATTCAGCCTCCAGAGCACCTGGGATCTGCCACCTTGCTCAGCAACTGAGCTTTATTTCTTACAGTAGTAGAACATGGACTTTGGATCCATGCAGACCCAGGTTCTGTCCTGGCTCTGCCATCCCTTGGAAAGGTACTGATGAAAACGCAGCTTCGGGGCCGGGGATTTAGCTCAGTGGTTCCGGCGCCTGCCTTGCAAGCACAAGGTCCCTAGTTCGATCCCTGGTACCAAAAAGAAAAAAAACAAAACAAAACAAAAGAAACAAACCCCCCAAAACCGCAGCTTCCTTATCTGGGGAAATGGGAATAATGATACTGCCCTCCAGTTTTAAAGACCAGAGTAGGAAAGGTGTGAAAAGTGCCTATGTTGGGTGTCAGTGAGATAAATTCTTTTCCTTGTCTCCTCCCCTGGACCACAACAAGATGGATGCACAGAGGCTGCCACCTTTTGCTTTGCCCTTTCTTGATGGGCTCATCCTCTGATCTCTGCCCTTTTCCTTTTATTTTTTTTGAGATAGGGTCTTGCTATATACTTCAGGCTGGCCTTGAACTCACTATGTAGACCAGACTAAGCTTGAACTCATAGTGATCCTCCTAGTGATCCTCCTGCCTCAGCCTCCCCAGCACTAAAATTACAGGCATGAGCCACCATGCCTGGCCAGATTTCTGCCCTTTTCAAATAAGAGTAACACAGGCGGACAGAATTTAAATATAGTCTTCCCAACAGTACAGTTGACTTCTTACCTAGCCTTCTTCACTGCTGGGCCTAGAAACACTCATTATCCCAGGGCAGAGTGGAAGTTTTGCCTAGATTTCCATATGGACTGAGTACAGCAGAAGCTAACACCTGGATCAAAATTATGGCCTCATTAAATAAAATGTTATATCCATACCAAAAAAATTATGGCCTCAGCTGGGCATATGGTACACACCTCTAATCCCAGCACTGGGGAGGCGTAGGTAGGAGGATCACCAAGAGTTTAAGCCCAGTCTGGGCTACATAGTGAGTTCAAGGTTAGCATGAACTACAGAGTGAGCCCTTGTCTCAAAAAAAAATATTATGGCCTCCCCCTGCATTTAAAACTATCATTTTCTTTCTAAATCTTGTTTTCTTTCTTTGTTTTGTTTTTTTTTTGGTACTGGGGATTGAACTCAGGACCTTGCGCTTGTGAGGCAGGCGGTGGAACCACTGAGCTAAATCCCCGGCCTCAATCTTTTCTTTAACATTTATTTATTTATTTATTTATTTATTTATTTTTTATTTAGAGACAGGGTCTCACTATGTAGCACAGGTTGGGCTTGAACTTGCTAGTATTTCAGCTCCCCTTGAACTTACTATATAGCCCAGTGTGGTCTTGAACTGGTGAACCTCCTGCCTCAGCCTGAGTGCTGGGAATACAGGCTTGTGCCACCACACCCACCCTCATATTTTACCTTTTGTATTTAAAAGAAAAGTGAAAAAGCAGTAATCCTATTTCTCCATTTCAATTCTACCTATCTCTTCTGCATCTCTTTCCTCCATCCCTTATAAATATTCAGGGAATGCTTACTTCGGAAAAGATAAGTTTTGTCCAAAAGAGAGAGAAAATGAATATCGTAGGAAATAATAACAGACAAACAGAAGAAATGTCACAGAGGGTAAAGAAAGGGGCAGTTAAGGCAGAGAGAGGGAGAAGCAAAGACCGGGAAGTAAGGAAGGGGATGAAACTGGATCTTTTTTTTTTTTTGAAACTGGATCTTGATGTACGCATAAAAACACAGGGGCACTCCCAGGCCTCCAGCTCCAGCACTAGATTGTGCAGGTAAGCTAGCGAGAGCAGAGGCAGCAAGAAGAGGGGTCTAAAACCTTGCAAGATGCCTACAGTGGGCATGAGGAAGTTGGGCCAGGTGTGAGGGGAAAAGGGGAGCCTCAAAGGAAGATGGGGGTAGGTGAGGAGTAGACAGGAGGGAGGGCAACCGTGGGCTGGCGCCACATCGAGCCCCATGAGCATGGCTGTTGAGCCGTGCTGCAATGGCTGCTGCTGGCAGGGGTGGGAGTCCAGGGAGGAGCCTCCTGCCCAGGCATCTCCCTCCCTGGATGACTCAGAGAGTGTTAGATATCTTAGGACAGCAGTGTGGAGCTGTCTGCCCTGGAGAGGTGTAAGAGGGGCTCCTGTTCTAAGGTCTCAGGCTCAGCTGGCTACAGGAAGCCCGCTCAGCACACTTCTTTTGTGTGAGCACTGGGGCTGGAGGGGCAGTGCCTCATGCCCTTGAATTCAGATGCAGGATCCTGTCTGGTCCTGGCACTGGCGACCTCTGCAGAAGATGGTGGTCTCCCTGACTGGAGGGAATCCCAAGCAGCCCTGCTACAGTTATTTGAAAGTGTACCATTGTAAAAGGACTGTTAAGTCTTTCTGGTTCTTTGACTTGAGATGAAGCTGTGTGATGTAATAGTACAATTAAATACTATAACAACAAGTACTACTAGAGGTTGAGCATACTTAATCTGGAAACCCAAAATCTGAAATGCAGGCTACAGGTATAGCTCAGTGGTACAGTGTGCCTGCCTAGCATGTGCAAGGCACTGACTTTGATTCCTAGCACTGCAAACTAACAAACAAATCCAGAATGCTCCAAAATATGAAACTTTTCCCCCCAAATCTAAAACATTGTTGTGTATGTGTGTGTGTGGTACTCGGGATTGAACCCAGGGCCTTTACACTGAGCTATATCCCCAGCCTTTTTTAAAAATTTTGAGAGAGGATCCCACTAAATCACTAAATTGCCCAGGCTGGCTGTAACGTGGCAATCCTCCTTCCTCAGCCTCCCAGACTGTTGGGATTACAGGCATGTGGCACCACACCTAGCCAAAAATCTGGACCTTTTTGAGCACCAACATGCCAATTCTATAAGTGGTAAATTCCACACCTGGCCTCATGTGATGAGTTATAGACAAAACAGAGGTGCCTAAAAATATTGTATAGTTACCTTTAGGCTATATGTATGTTATATAATAAACATAAATGAATTTTGTTTAGGATTTAGGATTAGGTGCCCTCCTGAAGGTATCTGGATGCACATATTCCAAAATTAAAACAAAAATCCATGCCATGCGTGGTGGTCCACATCCACTGTACAATCCCAAGTGGAAGCAAAAGTGGAATTCAGCAGCCTAAACACAGCACCTCTACTCTTGGGTTAACCTGTAAGCTTCTGAACTCTGGCTGTATTTTGAAGGAGATCTTTGAGTGTGTTACCCTGTCCTTGTGTGGGTCCCCTTGAGCGTATGTGTAGTCATGCTTTTTCTCTGAGCTTGAATGTGCTAGATGGCTATTGGGAGTTTGTTTTAGTAGAAGATAGACCACTAAACTGGGTGTGGTGGCACGTTCCTGTAATCCCAACACCTGGTAGGCAGAGGCAGGAGGACTATTGGGAGTTCAAGGCCAGCCTGAAGTACACAAGACCCTCTCTCAAACAAAAACAAAAAAACAAAGATGGTCCAGAACAGGATCACTGCTTTGTGCAACTCTAGGGGGCGCCATTCACACTGCAGTCCCTGCAGGGCTACTGGCCATTCTGTGAGTGTTGGGGTGGTGAAGATTATCTGGATGATGATATGTGTGCCTGTTTGTGATAATGTCTCTGGAAATTGAAAGTCTACATGACATGTATCCATATTATATAATCTTCATCAGGTAGACAGTCTGGTATTATTTAAAACACAGCCTTGGGTTACTTAGTATGTGCAAGGTCCCTGGATTCAATCTCCAGCACTAAAACAAAACAAATTAGAAAACCCCACAGCCTTTAAAATCAGATAGATCTGGTATCAGGTACTAGTTCTATTCTTAATATGTAAATGACTTCAGCTGAGTTTCTTTATCCTGAGAATGGGAAATCGCACCTCATGGAGTTGTGTCCATTGAGATTGATCATTATTGAGACTGGCACTTTTGGTGTGGTCAATAAATGGAAATGACAATTATCTACCGGATGCCTTATTTCCCGAGTCGGGGTAGGTGTGTTTATAGCCCTTTGTGCGTCGGGGATGTGCGAGCTGAAGGCTGTTCAGGCACCTCTTAGGGAGTAGTTAAGGTGCTCGCTCCTGCCCCAGGCGAGCTCCCCCGGGCCCCTGGTACACCGGAGGGGACCCTGGGCTTTCCCTCGGTGCAGGCGCCCGTGCTTGCGGTGTGTTGCTGTGTGCTGTCTGTGCTTGGTGGCCGGCTGGGACGGGCGTGTTTGGGGTGGTGGTAATTACTGGGATGGCCCGGCCCTAATGAGTGTGATCTCGTTACACTCTCGCTGCCTCTAATGGAGCTAACCTCATTTCACAGCCATTAGAGATGGAGATGAGGCCCCGCCCATGGGTCCCACCAGCTGCAGCTTTCGCAGCCTTGGCCGCATTCTTTCCCTCCCTCTCGCCATTGCTCGGTTCCACCTCGCCTTCTCCCTCCTTTTCTCTGCTCCTCCCTCCAGGTTTCCCTCTCCTGGTCCCCATTGTTCTTTTCCCTATCCGTCTTCGCACTCCTCTCTCCTTTTCCCTTCTCTTCTCTTGTCTCCCTTCTGTCTCTTCTCCATTTCTGGCTTCCTTTCCCTTCACTCAGCGCCCACGCGGATTTGTCCTCCACATTTCCAATTCTCCTTCCTCTTTTCCACCCGCCTCCCCGCCCTTCACCGCTGCCCTCCCCTCCCCCACACTGCCCTGTCTGGCCAAAGGACAAATCTCAAGGGGAAACCAGCAAAGACAAACAAGGAGCAGTGACTTCATTACCATCGTTAATTTGCCACTTCAGTTCCTCCCGCAAGGGTCAAAGCCAGCATGGCTTGAACTCAGGACTGACATGGAGGCTGAGGCCACAGCCAGGCTCTGCAGGGCTGCTGTGCACGTTGCCCCACTCCCATCCTGATTTCCCTGTGTGTGGGGGGCTGGCTTTCTCTTTAAATTCTAGTCCTCACAGCCTCCTACCCTCTCCCTTTTCATTTAAAATGTGGACATCTCTCCCTCCAACTCTTTTTTTGAGACAGGGTCTTACTATGTATTCTGGACTGGATTACATGTAGCCCAGGCTGGGCTCAAATTTGCAGCAATCCTCCTGTCTCAGCCTCCCCAGTGATGGCCTTACAGACGTGCACCGCCACACCTGGCTCTCTCCTCCCTCCATCTCTGCCACACTCTCCTCTTCTCTCCACTTCTCCCTGCCCAGTCTATAGTGAACCCCTTTCTTGTCCTTCCATGCTCGTCTCTCTTCCTAACCTTCAGTGTACTTCTTTCCTTAAAGGACCAGGATGTATCTCTAGGTTTTTGGAGGCCAAGAAGTCTGAAGCAGCCAGAGATGGAAAAAAAGCATTTGTAGTCTAAACTGATCAAGTGATCCCAATCACTTGGAGACAACTGTGAAGAAAGCAGCAGGCCCAAAGCCCCTGAGTACAGGGAGGGAGGGAGGGGTGCAGAACACTGAGACTTTCACTCAAGATCCAAGAAAATGGAATGGAAGACAGAGGCAGGGGGTCTTGGGCTTTTGTCACTGATAAAGACAAATGAAACACAGTGTGTATGTGCACATGTGTGTGGGGGAGTGGAAGTGGTATTTACCCCATCAGTTCCTCCAGGGAAATGCAATCTAACACTGGTCCCACCCTCTGCCCTCCTTCACTGAGAAGCCAAATGGCTGGCAATTGACTCTTGACCTTTAGCGCAAACCCAGGCCCAAAGGGAACAGCCCAGGGCAGTTAGCTGTGACTGGGGAAATGTCTACACAGGAAGTAAAGATTTCTGGCCCACACCCATCCTGCCCCATTGACTTTGCACTTCAACATGCCACAGAAGACCAGACCCTATGCGTACACACCCTCTTCTCTCTGCAGAGGGCTCTTGCACACCCTGGGCCAATTATGTCCTCCTAATTGCCCAGATCTCTATGCCTACACCATTCCTGTGGCTCAGCTGTCTTGGTGGGGATTAGAAAAAGATGTCTTCTTCCAGGCACATGCAATTCCCATACCACTGGTGTAACATGGCCACAGCAGCACAGGATTTCAGCCCACTGGAAGTCACCTCCAAATTTTTCACCCCTGCCTCACCAGCCTGGGCTGGAAGAGGGACAGACAGACAGTTCTCTGGGGCTTTCACTACAGAGGCAAGGGGCTCTGGGAAAGTGGG